CCTATGAATGTTCTCCAGATTGTGAATAAGGTGAGGATGTAAGGCCCTGAGAAATTTCTTTTTTCTTTTTTGTACCATGAATCAAATTTACCCCAAAGAGGAATTTTATTGATTACTTTATTCCCTCACAAAAAGACAAACTATAATCAAATGAAGTCAACATTCACCTCAAGATTTTGTCATCTTCATAAAAAAAAAGATGAGGTTTAGAACTGGATCACTTGACCCTTTCTCTTCTTATCTCCTCCCAGTTCAAAATGTTTAGATCTCTTAATAGCCAGCATTCTCTTAGATCTGCAGTTGGGCTCAACACACTCAAGCCTCGGTGCAATCTTCTTTGTAGTTTTTGCCTTTTTCTGGAAAATAGGCTTAGTCTGTCCACTATAGCCATTCTGCTTCCTGTCATACCACTGCTTTCCCTGAGCATGCCGAGAACTCTTGCCTTTTTTGTACTGTGTCACTTTATGAGGTTGGTGCTTGCCACACTTTTTACAGAAAGTCCGGCAGGTTTTAGGGACGTTCACCATGTTTGCAGGCGTGCTATCTGCACAGAAGGCAGCCCTGAGAAATTTCTTAGGCAGAATTCTAAGACTGCCTCCTAAATTCCCACCTCTGTGGCATGCAGACCCTCTATAATCTCCTCCCCTGGAGTATGGGTGGGCCTGACTTAAATCAGTGGGCCCTTTTTTTTTTTTTTTTGAGAGATTTTTGCTGTAGGGTACTTGCACTTGCCAGAGAGTCAGAGAGAGACTGAAAGTGAGGAATCACCCCCTCCAGGGATAATCATCCCCAGGAGGGATGGCAAAGCTGCAATCACTTCTCCATTCTCCTCTTGGATCTTGGAGACAGACAGACACACACACACACACGTGTCCGGCATGAGTTTCAAGTCACTATGTCCAAGACTTGAACCTTGGTCACCTATAAGGGAGTCTAGCGACGTAACCATTACACAATCTGCTGGTCCCAAGGTGAGCCTTTAAAAAAAAATTATTTAATTTCATTTGCTATTATTTTTTAATCTGACCAGACAGAGAGAGAAAGAAAGGGAAAGTGAGAGAGCAAGCCGCCAGGTCCGGGACTCGAACCAACCATGTGGGAATCCAGTGCCTTTAATCACCATGCCACCTGCTGGCCCAAAGTGAGCTTTTTAAAAGAGTCTAGAGCACAAAGACAAAAGTAAGAGAGATGTGAAGCTGCAGCATATGCTTCCACGTAGCAGCAGGGTCTCCATGAAGCAAACTAACATGCTGTGGCAAGAGCCATGTGACAGGGAGCTGTAAGTGTCCTCTAGGAGTTGAATGTGACTCCTTGGCCAACAACTAGTAAGAGAACAGGGACCTTGGTCCTAGGCCCATAAGGAACTGAATCTTACCAATAATCAGTGAGCATGAAAGAGGACCCTGAATCTCAAATGAGACATCTTTCGCCAAATTTCAGCCCTATGAGACTCTGACAAGGAACTCAGCTAACCTTTACCTACTCCTGATCCAGACAAAATGTGACATAATAAATTTATGTTATCTTAAACCACTATGTTTGTGGTAATTCAGTATAAAGTAACATAAACTATTAACCACACTTAAGACTCAAAAACAACTCTGACAGTTCATCTCAAAGCAGAATTACGCTTTGTTTTCCATATATGTTGAGGTTTCAAGAAGGGCTGCCTGGTAAAGCAGGCAACTATCAATAGAAAAATTATAAGCCAGTAGAAAAACGTTATGGGCATTTTATGTGTTAAACTGGAGGGAGGGCCAGCTCCATACTGCAGCAATAAGGCAACCACGGTTCAAATCTTGGGCTGGTCAGCTTGAAACATCCTGGGCAAGTGAGTGCCTAAGATCTATGGGTTGGAGGACTGGAGAAAGCAGACCGAAGCATAACCAGACCTTGTGGAGGATAATCCTCCCTGTTTTTCCATGTCTCTCTGTCATGCATGCATATGTGCTCTAATAAAGAAAAAAAAAATTTAATAAACTGGAGGGGGGCTGGGGCCGGCAGGTGGTGTGGTGGTTAAGGCACTGGACTCCCACATGGCCGACTAGGGTCCGAGTCCTGGACCTGGAGGCTTGCTTTCTTGCTCTCCCTCTTTCCCCAAGTCCTGGGCAAACTGAAACAAAACAAACGAAACAAAACAAAACAAAACGCTACTGGAGGGGAGCCATCAGGTGGCATGATGCTTAAGGCACTGCACTCCCACCTGGCTGACCGTGCTTTGAGCCCCAGACCTGGAGGTTGAAAATCACTCCAGGATCATGTACATGACATGCCCAAAATTCTGAAAGGAGAATGGGGAAGTGATTGAAGTGTGGGCATTCCCCTGCAGGATGATTTCTCACATCCCCTCTCTCGGTCTCTCTAAAATGAGCACACATACCTTAAGGCAAAAATCTAAAATAAAATAAAACAAACTGGAGGAAGACCAAGATGGTAAAGGCTCATGAGGAAATTTAGACATGTGACTAAACTAACTTTCAAATAATGAATAAGAATTCACTGATGAGCTAAGTGGTAGAAATTATAGACAGAGAGCCAGTCCTACAACCTAGTGGTTCAGAGAGCCAGATCCCACACAGCTCACCACAGTACAAATCCCAGAAACGGAGGCTAGATGAACATGCCAGGTACATATGCATGCATGTCCTCAAATCCTATAGGATGGAGAAATGAAGGAAAAGAGATTATAGTGAGACTATGCCACACTGGGGGGCTGCTTTACACCCTGCTCCCTCCCTTTTCTTTCTGGCAAGTACCTGTGCCCTCAGGCAATTTAAAATAGAAAGAAATCAATAGCATCGAAAGACAAAATGGTATAGAATCCAGAGTATAAAATGTAGTGCAGACTGAGGCATCAGAAAATATGATTGCTGGGACCAGCTGTTAGTGTAATGGCTATGTCACTGGACTCCCATATAGTCGACCGCAGTTCGTGTCCCGGACCCGGTGGCTTAAAACTCACACAGGCCGCGGTGTGCATGCGTGCCCAAGATCCCAAGAAGAGAATGGAGAAGATGAGATTGTGGTGTGGCTATCCCCCCTGGGGGGCTGATTTCTTGCTTTCTGTCTCTGTCTCTGTCTATCTGGCGAGCGCACGTGCCCTAGAGCAAAAACCTCTTAAAAAAAAAAAAAAGAAAAGAAAATATGGTTGCTGACTAGGGCAGAAGCTACAATATGCAGGTGATGAGGACCAGTATACAGAATTTAAGCAGGGGACTGACATAGTTCAACACGTATTTTAGGTGGAATACATATTCTTTGATGCTTCTCTAAGAGATGAACTGAGAGAAATTAAGAGATGGTGAAACCAATTAGGAATTATTCCAGTTGAGCAAACAAGACGGGGCAGATTAAGATGACACAGGCTGGAACCAGCAAAGGTAGTGGAGATGCTACTACCCCCTACCTGAGCTTTCACAACTCAAAAAAAAAATCTAAGCAGACATCTATACTACCCATATCTGAATTTTTAAAAACCCTTGTACTGGGCCAATAGTATAGTGGCTAAGCACTCTACATTGGGAGTCAGATTCCACATGGCTGACCACAGTTTGTCATGGCTTAAAAAACACACCGGTACTGGGACCAGCAGGTGGCTTGGTGGTTAAGGTGCTGGACCTGCCACATGGCTGACCATGGTCTGAATCCTGGACCTGATGGAGTGCTTTGTCACTTTCTCTCTTTCTTGCTGGTGAGCACTTGTGTTCTATAGAAAAATTAAATAATAATAGTAATACGAGTAAATCAAATTAAATAAAAAAGTAACTCTTAAAAAAGAAAAACAAAAAACAAAAAAACAGTACACATGTGTGCATGCCCCAAATCCAGACAGGATGAATAAATGGAGGAGAAAGGATTAGTGTTATCATGTCCCAACAGGGTAGTGCGCTCGCTCTCTCTGGTAAGTACAATTTAAAAAAATTTAAAAATAAAAACCCATAAAAACTTCTATCTATTGGGGCCAGCGGTGGCGTGGTGACTAAGGGTGTTGGACTCCCACATGGCTGACGGAGGTTCGAGTCCTGGACCTGGCAGCTTGACTTCTCACTTTCTCTCTGACCCTGTCCCTCTGGTCAAATAAATAAATGAATAAAGATAAGTAAAATGATTCTAAAATGTTTTCTGTTTATTAAAATAAAAAGTTCTTATTTATATTTACTTATGATGTATTGAAACTAAGTAACTGTGGGGCTGGCAGGTGGCATGGCGAATAGGGGCACTCCCATGTGGCCAACCATGGTTTGAGTCCCAGACCTGGCAGCTTGGTTTCTCGTGTTCTCTATGTCCCTTTCAAGCCAAATAAAATAAAATAAGTAAAGTTTTAAAAAAAAAAACAACAACTAAGTAAGTGATAGGACCTGCAGATGGCATAATGGTTACATAGCTGGACTCCCACATATTCAACCGTGGTTCTAGTCTCAGACTGTAGCTTAAAACTCACTAGGTGTGTCTGTGCGTTGTGTGCCCAAAATCCTAAGAAGAGGATGGAGGATAAGGGATTGTGGCACAGCCATCCCCTCTGTGGAGTGATTTCTCACTTTCTGTCCCATCTCTCTGGCAAGCATGTGCACCCTATAGCAAAATTCTCTCTTTTTAAAAAAAAAAAAAAGTGGTTACCTATTAGAGAGGCTAGAAGCAAGTAGTGGCAGAGCCCTGGCCAATGGCGAATATAAAGATTTTTCACCTTTTTATACCTTTTTGGTTCTTAAATTGTGTGACTGTATTCCTTACTAAAGAATTAAAATAGGGGCTGGATAGTGATACAGTAGTAAAACACAATCAATGCTCTGTGAGATTGACCCATACGGGAAGGTTCTGGATTCACATCCAAAGACCTCTCTGAGTACGCTGGACACATGCATGCTTATGATCTGGGGCTGGCTGAATCCCAGCATCAGGACCCTATTAGAGATACTCATTCATAGAAGAGATAAACTTTGAAATAAATAATTAAAATTAACATAAGACACAAATATTTCTACCCATCTAGGTAGGTTTACCTGTGTGCGTTTCCACATTCTTTAGCACATGGTTCTGCTTGCCTCGGGGGAAAGGAGATACTACGTGAGGATCCTGCCTCCTTACGGTGCATTTTTCTTGGTCAGCTCTTCTGGAAGACTTGCTGACAACTGCCAGGTTCCCACTATCACAGGCAGATTTTGCTGGTCTTTCACTGAGCTTATCTTTCAGAACCGGGACCATGTTGTTCTTGGGTCCTGTGTTCATATGTCGTTGGCTTTCCTGTTTTGGTGGATTCCTGCCTGGTCTTGGCCTAGCCCCCTCAACTTCCCACGGTGGTCTTTTCTGTGGGTATCTTCTCTGTTCATTCCTTCTAGCCCCATACCCATCCAATACTCCTTTTCTAATGGATGCATCTAAAGAGTCAGGGTGGGAAATCCCCACAGGTTTGGTATTTTCAGGTCTGGCATCCTCAGGTTTTGGAGTTACTTTGCCACTCCATTCACATCTGAGTTTCCCCTTGACTTTTGGTCCTCTACCATGGTTGTATATAAACTGTGTTGTCTTTTTTGGTTTCGCTCCCCTGGGATCTGCACTGACAACTTCCTTCTCACTCTCAGAAGGACTATGCTCTCTGGGATTTGTCCCATTCTCTGATCTCAACACACTTTCTATATCAGTTGTATCTGAGTTCTGCTCAGTGACACCTTGTACTTTCTTTACTCTGATATGTTGCTTTTCACTCTTTGATTTTTGCCAAAGTTGATTCTGAAGGCCATGGTTCTTGGGTGATTTATTAGAAGCAGATGACTGGAAAGAATTCTGTTGACTTTTAGGTTTGTTTCCAGAAGGATAACTATGCTGATGAACAGGAAAGATGTCATCATAAGGAACTTGCCTGGAAACGTGACAGGGAGGTGGTGAATTATAATTTCTTCTACCAGTCTTACTAGAGTCTAGTCTCCTTTGAGTCCCACAATTGAGACCAGAATTTTTTCTCTCCTGAGGAACAAACTCAGCAGCATCTGTATTGAATTTAAAAGTACCTAGGACAAAAGAAATAGACATGCCAGTAAAAAAAAATGTATCTGTCACCCATGAAGTCCAGAAGACTATATCATACTGAAAAACTATTTTCCTAAGGACTTTCATATAAAACAAGCTCTTGGGATGGGACCAGCTATTGGCATAATGGCTCTGTCGCTGCACTCCCAGGTAGTCGACCACGGTTCAAGTCCCAGACTGGTGGCTTGAACTCACACCAGGTTGTGTGTGAGCCCAAGATCCCAAGAGAAGAATGGAGGAGAGGGGACTGTGGCATGGCCCTCCACCCTGGGGGTGGTTTCTGGATACCCATGTAGTCACCTATGGTGACTTCTCGCTTTCTGTCTCTGTCTCTCTCTCTCTCTGGTGTGTGCATGTGCCCTATAGCAAAAACCTCTCCCCCCAAAAAGCAAAACAAAACAGGCTCTTAACATTTATTAGGTACATAGTATGTGCCAGGTACTTCACATGTGTTACTCACATAACCCTTACATTATTATTCTTCTGGTACTTCGCACATGCTAACTCATTTAACCCTTACATTTCTGATGAGAAAATTGAGGCAGAGAGAGTAAGTAACTTGCCCTGGCCCACAGAGGTAGATTTCAACTCAGGGACCAACCACATAGCACAATGGTTAAGCTCTGTGCTGAGGGAACAGCATCTCACATGGCCGACCACAGTCTGAATCCCAACCCCAGGAGTTTAAAAAACACTCCAGGCTTGGGGAACAGCAGATGGCATAGTGGTTACATTGCTGAACTCCCACATAGTTGACAATGGTTTGAGACCCAGATCCAGTGGCTTAAATTCATGCTAGGCGTGTGTTTGTGTGTGTGTGTGTGTGTGTGTGTGTGCCCAAGATCCCAAGAGGAAAATGGAGAAGGGATGGTGGCATGGCCATCCCCCGCTGGGAGGTGCTTTCTTGCTTTCTGTGTCCTGGTCTCTGTCTTTCCAATGAGTGCACATGCCCTATAGCAAAAATCTCTCTTTAAAAAAGAAAATAAAATAAAAGAAAAGAAAAAGACCTCCGGGCATATGCGCATGCACTCAGGAGTCTGACAGGATGGAGCAGTGGAGAAGGAGGGAAGACTGGCACATGACCAGGTCTGATAGTGTATGGGGGGGGTCTCGCTGTCTCTATCATATATGCATGTGCCCTCTAGCATTAAAAAAAAATTCCACCTCAGGATGCGTGACATTAGAGACCATGTTCTTGCACTATGCTACACAGACAGCTTAAAAACATAACAGTGAAGAACTGAGTAAGACCATAAAATCATATGGTAACCTCGCACTCAATCTAGTATTTGTCCTGAAAGCTTTCACATTGGGGGAATTCCAGGGATGGGATGAAGGGCCTCACAAAATGACAAGGGGATTAGACAAATTCAGAAGGTGGCAAAGGTGTTATTGAAACGTAAAAAATAATAGTGTGAATGGATATGCTAGACCAAAGGGTACTGTGCAGTTCTGCCTGAAGATGCAAGAGGGGGCAGAAACAAGGCCAATAAACTTGTCCAGAGTAGCCTGGTAAAGGAAGGGAAAAGGGTGTTTCACGTTGAGCATTACTGAGTTGATGCAACAAGAGTCCAGACAGCACAGACATGAGGTAAAAAGTCCTGGAAAAGACCCTTAAGAGACATGAGGAAGAGTAAAAGGATACACAAATCATAAAACTGGACCGTGCAAAGATCAGAGATATCCTTTTCATTAAGTAGCTGGAAGTTACTCAGTAAACAGGATGTCTCAGCACCAAGGGATAGCTATAATCCAAGTAAGTGGTACACTAGATCCGAAATAACACAGCAGTGTCACAGGTTTCCAATAGGTAGGTGAATAGGGGAAATTCAACTGGTAGACTGTGAAGTCCAGGAACAAAGTTCTTCGGGGCATTGGAGAGTCCACCAAGATAACTCTCAGACTGGGCTGCTATTTGGGGATCTTAAATGAGGATGGTGACCTTGGCTAGAAATGATACTAAAATAAGAACATGAAATAGGAACTAAAGCAAAAACAAACTATGGCACATGAAAAGGAGTGAGGTCTCTGGACTAGGGGACTTTGCTTCAGTAGATGCATTATAGGATGGAGGTGGTAACCTGGGATACACCACCAGATGCCAACACTACGATTGATAACTAGTCTCTACTCAATTCTACTTCAAACACTGAAGTGTACAGAAGAGGATCAGAAGTGAGGCTGAGGATGAGAAGATCAATGAATCCAGTTCAGATGATCCAGTGAAATACTGAGTGATGAGAAATAACTAACCACCATCATAAAAGTTTCTCAATCCCTCACCCCAAGATGACTTAATACTCAAAATCAGGACTATGTTACACCATTGCAGTGTGTTTTCCAACTTTTCAAACTAAGATCTACAGTAATAAATACGTTTTACTTGCCACCCAGTACACAAACAATAAATAGCTCTTTTTGGTGCCCCAAGAGCTGGTGGGTAATAGTCAAACCAATGATGACTGTTTCCAAACCCCATGCTACAAATTGCTGCCCTGTTTTTCAGAGTGGGTCATGAAACCGAATTAATGTAGGCTGTTGCCACAAATATTTTTAAAAACGAAATAGAACACAGGGCATACTTCTGCTAGTAAAGAAAAAATAATATTTTTCTGAAACTCAGTTCACTGCTTTATTTATGTAAGTGTACACTAAGGTGGTGATGCAAAACGTTGTATTTTTGGGTCTCTGTTCAAGAACTTTGGAAAGTACTTATCTACCGTACACTTGGAAAGAAATGAGAACAGATGTTGTATCAACAACCAAACGAAGCCATCTCTCTCACACGCAGAAGGGCAACTCTGGAAGGAGAATTACAGAACAGGGCAGAAGCCTTCCCAAGAATTACCTAACTTACTCCCAAATGACAGGGGAAGAAACTTTGACTCGGTCACACAGAGTAACTGGCAGACTGAAATTCTAAATCCCAAGAATAACACATCGAAGCCCAGTACGCAAATCCTCTTGGCGTCGAGAGCCCGCCAACGTCACTGGTGGTGCACTCGGCCGACGCCCGTCCGCTGGAGGAGGGCCGGGAGGAGCACGGTAGGAAGGCGGGACACCTATAGCGACTAGCTGGGCGCGAGGACAACAAGACCGCTTTGCTCAGAAACCCAGCTGCTGGGTTTCACCACCTAGTCGAGGACGGCGGAGGTCTCAGCACGCACGTCGCGCGTGGCTTGGCCCTTCTGAGCCACTATCCCCAACTCCAGCACGCAGCACTCTCGCGATACGAATAGCGGGAGCCCTAGATAGCGTTGCTGACCCAATTTCCGCTCCCCGGGAGTGCCCAGTTTCGCACGCGCCGGGACAGTACCTGAGACAGGAGGTGCCTCCGCCATCCCGTGCAGGAGCACCTACAGCGAGCCCTAGAGCCAGCGAGCACTGTCACCCGGTCACGTGCTACGGACTTCCGGCGCCTCGAGAATACTCCCACCGGCGCGCCGAGAAGACGGCCACGGAGGTTGCGCGGTCCAAATCTACTGGGTGGCGCGTCGGTTACGTCAAACAGAGGCGCCGCTTGCCGCGCGGGAGGAGGAACCATCAAGAGGTGGCAGGAATCGCGGAAGGCGGCAGGGGTGGGGGCCGGAGTGTAGGGCCTTGCGTAATCATTGTGTTTTTCTTTCTGAGATTCTTTGTCCTGCCCTGCCCTATGCCCTTTGGCCCTGCTACCCAACCAGCTTGAACTGTTTTTCAGGAGTCTGTTCAGACAACACCTTTCCAAGTAGTTGAGGCTTGCAGGGTGGGGGAGGGGGACTTAACCTAAATAGTGCTGACAGAAATGAGCTGTGTGGAAATAATGAAACGGATTATCCAGGGCACGAATGTCAGTGAAAAAGAGTTTTTAGGGTGCTTGGATGCAAAGGTTCTTTTTATTTTGTTCTGAACCCGAGACACACAAAAGTTGAAAACAAGGAATCTTTACAGTGGCCCGATAAAAAACGTTGGGCATCTAGAAGTGGGGGTTTGTCGCAGGTGAGTTTAGAAATTCTTAGGTTAGGGGCTGGCAGGTGGTATGGTGGTTAAGGTGCTGGACTCCCAAATGGTCAACAAGGTTCTAGTCCTGGACCTGAAGGCTTGCTTTCTCACCTTTCTCTTTCCTCTCTCTCTCTTTCTTTGGTCAAATAAAAAAAAAAGTAATAATGAATGAAATTAAATAATTCTAACACAGAAGAAAATTCTTAGGTTAGTATCTAGTTAAAAGCACAAGTCTTTGTTACAAAAGACTTAAGAGTCAGCAAGAAATGCCTGTGTTTAAAAGAGATAAGGCTTTGGAACAGCAGTTGGCATAATGGCTGGACTCCCATGTAGTCGACCATGGTTTGAGTCCCACACCTGGTGGCTTAAACTCATGCTGGGTGCACGTGTGCTTGTCAGAGAGAAAGAGATAGAAAGTGAGAACTCACCCCCCACCCAAGGATGGTCATGCAACAGTCCCTTCTCCATTCTCCTCTTGGGATTTTGGCCACTCACATACATGTGTCCTCCGGTCCCATGTTGTGTCCTCCCCTACCCCATCACCCCACCCCCATGTGAAGTTTAAGTCAGTGAGTCCAGACTTGAACCATAGGTGACTACATGGGTATCCAGTAACATAACCATTATACTACCTGCTGGTCCCTGGGTTTCCTCTTTTTAAATTGCTTATACCAGGACCAGCGGTGGCATGGACATCAAGGCACTGGATTCCACATGGCTGACTGCACAGTTAGAGTCCCAGACCAAGTGACTTGAAAACCACATTGGGTATGTACATGTGCATGCCCAAAGTCCTGAAAGAAGAGTGGAGGAAAAGGGATTGTGGCATAGCCATCTCCCTTGGGGAGTGATTTATTTCTCTCTTTCTCTTCCCCTCTCTCTCCAGCAAGCACACTTGCCCTATAGCAGGAAAAAAAATTGTTTATCCATTGCCCATTTTTCTGTTGGGGATGTTGTATTTTCTTCCTGATGGTTTCTTGTATATTGTACAATACATATCCCTTGTCAGTAGATATCTAAATTGTCGGTTTTTTGGGGAGGTGGGGGGATTCTTTTTTTGAGAGAGGTTTTTTTTTTTTTTTTTTGAGAGTTTTTTTGCTATAGGGCACGTGTGCTCGCCAGATAGAGAGACAGAAAGTGAGAAATCACCCCCCAGGGGGGATGGCCATGCCGCAATCCCTTCTCCATTCTCCTCTCGGGATCTTGGGCACGCACACACACGCGCCTGGCGTGAGTTTAAGCCACCGGGTCCGGAACTCAAACTGCAGTCTACTACGTGGGAGTCCAGTGACATAGCCATTACACTAACTGCTGGTCCCTATTTCATTAAGTTTTTCATCTTGTTCTTTGTTGAACATGAATTCTTAATTATGACAGGTCTGCTCACCAAACAAATCTTATCATCACTTTCAGAAATTACCAGGTGTATCAGTCTGATCTTACTGGAAGAACCACACACTAATTTGAACAGGGAAAGTTTTACTGGGTTGTCACAAAAGTCATGATGTATTTTTTCAATGCAAAATTTTTCTCTATAATCACATAGCAAGAATGGAGAAGGCAGTTCTATAAATGAAAAAGAATGCTATTCTGAAAAGACTAAGCAATAAACCATTACAGATAGGCAGGAGCCATGTCTTAGGTGGCTTTGTATGTCTCGATGCAGGTGTTAAGGAACCATTAAAGATTTTTAAACTAATTTGTATTTTTAAAAAGGTAAGTGTAGCTGCAGGTGATAAATGGGACCCAATTAGGTGAAACTCTATAAGAAGAGAAAGCAATTCATTTATTACAAAAGACTATTTGACAAAGCCTATATTTAGGCCAAGTAGAATAAGAGGGGGGAAGGAAAGAGAGGGGGAGCTTGATTTGAGAAATACAAAGGGGTTAAAAGCAGGGTTTAATGATTAATCGAAATGTATAGGGTGAGGCAAAATAGTCATCAAGGAAAACACAACAGTTTTCTGTTTTGAATAACAGAAAGATAATAGTTCCACTATCTGAGACAGGAAAACCAGGAGCAAAAGATTTAGGTCTGTGGAAGGGTGGTAGGTTGTCTCAGTCATTTGATGAGAAGTGTTTTCAGGCTTATGGAACATCCAAATAACTGTTAGGCAAACATCTGAATATAAGTAGGATTCTGAAACTCAGGGCAAAATCAGGAATAGAAGTACTGATTTGGAAGTTGGCAATCAAAGCTATGAGAATACCTAAGATGGGTCAGCCTGTAGTGTGGTAGTTAAGGCAGCTGGATCCTACATGGCTGATTGCATAGTTCAAATTCCAGACCCAGTGGCCTGAAAAACATACTGGGCATGTGTGTGCATGCACCCAAAACCTGAGGACAATGGAAGAGATGGTATTGTGGTGTTGCCATGCCCCCGGGAAGAAGGTGCTTTCTCACTTTCTCTCTCTCTCTAGTGAGTATATATGCCCTATAGAAAATTAAAAATCAATGAAGAATAACTGAGATCACTAAATATAAGTGAGCAGGAAAAGAAGTATGGTGGCTAAAAGCTAGAATCCTGAGAAAAACTGACATTACAGGGTGGCAGATATAAGGACTCTAGAAGTCTTGGAATAATCAAAGGAATTAGAGAAGCAGAGAATACTGTTACAAAAGCAATGGGAGGGGGATTTAAGTAGAATGATGGCTCCCTGGTATCCAATGCATTATCTCAGTCTACCTTGAGGGCTAAACAGCCATTACAATTGGCAATATAGGGACCAGCAGGTGGCGTGGTGGTTAAGGCCTTGGACACTCCCACATGGCCTACCAGGGTTTGAGTCCTGAATCTGGTGGCGTGCTTTCTCACTTCCTCTCTCACTCTCAACCTCTGTCTGTCTCTGGTCAAATTAACAAATAAATGAATAAATAAGTAAAATCAAATTATTTTTTAAAAATTGGCAATATATCGGTCTCTAATGATATTAGTAAGATAAGAGATAAAGGAGAAATGTTTGCTGATGGTGAAGCCTAAGATAATGAGCTTAATTTGGATATGTCATATTTTAGGAAAGGGTAAGACATTTAAATGGAAATGGCCAGAACTGAAAAATAAGGAAAAAGGTCTAGGCTGGACAATTACGTTATTAAAGTATATATAATAGTTGAAGTCATGGGTATGAGATCTATCAAGGAGAGTATAGATTAAAAGCAAAATGGGAGAAATATCTAGGACTGAATGAGGAAGAAGTGTCCACTGAAGATAGTAAGTGGCCAGAGAAATAGAAGAAAACCCAAAATTCAGGGAGAAGCCAAGGGTTTTAAGAAGGTAATGATAAGGGTGCCGGCAGGTGGCGTGGTTAAAGGCGCTGGACTCCCACATGGCCAACCGTGGTTCAAGTCCTGAATCTGGTGGCTTGCTTTCTCACTTTCCCTGTCTCTATGTCTTTCTGATCAAACTGGAAAGTAACAATAATAATAAATAAAGTTAAAATAATTCTTAAAAAAAAAAAGGAGGTAATGATAAGTATTGTGATGTTTGCTCTCACTGGTTAGTGAGAGTGGGAGACAGTTACATATGTCTCATTCTCATTAGATAGTGAACTTCTGAAGAGAGGAACTGTGATTGTTCTTGGTATCCCATAGGCAGCTATAGAGACTTCTACAGCACTAGTGTTCAATAAATGTTTATTGGTTTGATCTGCAGACAGGTGAAAGGTTGGTACACATGGCACTGTGAGTCCAGGTTGGAGGGGAAATGCTGCTGCCAAGAGGCTGACTGAGGAAGGTTGGACAGGATCATGAAAGACCCAGGAGTTTGGACTTGCTATAGCACGCCAGGCATCCCCAATGAAAGAATGAAGCCCCTAGTTTTTTATTAATAATCTCCCATAAGAATAGTACATTGCAGTTAACAAAGGACTTAAGACTATTACCTTAGTTATTCCTCACAAAAACCTTGTGAGATGAGCACAGTTTTACTAACAAGGAAACATAAGTTTATAGGGGTAGACTACTTAGTTGATGGTAGACCCAGGGCCAAGTTCAGATTGTTCCTAGCTCTTTCCTCTATAACATAATGCTGTTAGTTACATTTGGTTTCTATACTGGAGTTTTAGGATTAAATTAATATTAAAATTAATATTAAAAGTCTGTATTAAGTTCAGTTTCCATAGTAGAAGCTTCTGACCAAAGGTGGTAATAAAATTATATCCTTTTGAAAAATATTTATTGAGTATAAATAAATGTCCTATACATTAAATATCAAGAAATAGTATCGATTACAAGTCAGGCTGTAATACTGAGAGAACCAGAGAATTAATATCCACTCATGATACAGTAGTGATAATTCCATTCCAACAATGGACACAGTAATGATCTGCTCACAAGACACAGCAAAACCCATCAAAAAAGACTACCACTTTAAACAAGATATACCACAATAGAAAATAGTTTAGAATCATAATGCAAACAGTCTCAGTAATCTCATCTTCATCTTGTCAATTTGTTGGGTTACATAGAGACTGTAGAGTACACTGTCATAGAATTTAAAGATTCCACTTCCTTGGTTCTATTTAAAATTAGTTAATGAATAAAAACAATTCATACAAATCCAAAGATACTTTTAAGTACGTTAGTCTTTCATAAGAGAAAAGGAATCAAATTTAGTACAAAGAAAGCATCCCCCAAGCAATGAGTCTCTTAATGAAAAAAAATAAAAAAGCTAATTAACTTTTCCCTCAAGGAAAGGGGAGAAACCTAAATCTGTCATAGTAAAGATAAATATTTCCTAGTCCCAGAATATTTGCTTTTCAGGATGTACTTGAATGATGTGAATCTATGAAGCAGGGATCTGTGGCAATCCAAACTCATCCACCAGGACTCCATCCTATGAAAAGAAAACAATTTTTAGTGCCATTATTGCTCACTTGATAAAAAATCAATTACAAAGATTTTGTCAAAACCCACTTCTGAGTGTTTAACCAATCAAAACCAAAATACCACCCAGAAGGTGATGATAAGCTTTATCAAGAAAGGTAAATGGGAAAGTGATGAACCAGACCAATACTTTTTAAAAATATATATTTATCTAAATATTTATTTATTTACTTACTTTACTTACTTACACACACCAGAGAAAGATGGGGGCGGGGGGGAAGTGAGAAAGCAAGCTGCTAGGTCTGGGACTTGAACCACGGTTAGCCATGTGGAAGTCTGGTGCCCTTAGCCACCATGCCACCTGCTGGCCCTGAGGACCAATATTTTTTAGTCTCTCAAATTCTTGAAGGAACAGTGCCCTTAGACAGTCAATATCATAGTAAAGTAGTATCATGGTTTATTACAAAATCATAGGCAGTGATACCATTATCAATTAAGAAAGCCATATCTCCGTGGCACATTTAACTCAGGAATCCAATATATTCTGGAAGTGGAAATTAAACCAACTATAACAGATGCTTCAGGAATTTTTAAAGAGGGAATTGAAAAGGTAGGCCACAGTAATGTTAATAAAAATTATTTCAGGGTCAGCTTAGTGGCATAGTTAAAGTGACAAACCCACATGGCCAACAGCATAATTTGAGACCCAGGCCTGGCAGTTTAAAAAAAAAAAACAAAACAAAAAACTAGGGGTGTCTATGTGTGTGTGTGTGCACACGCTGCCCAAAATCCCAAAAGAATGGAAGAAAAGGGACTTAGTGTGGCATCCTCTCCAGGAGCTGCTTTCTCACTTTCCTCTCTCTCTCTCTCTGTCTCGTTCTGGTAAGCACACATGCCCTACAGCAAATTTTTTTTTTCCAGAGTTCTACGGCTTTATTACAAATGGAGTTGACTGCCACGGAGACGCCTGTCCAATATTTCTTCTAGACTTCTTCCCTCTCTTCACATCCCTCTCCAGGGGAGGTCAGGAAACCATTATAGAAGAGAAATCTGGAGACAGTAACAAAGGGCAATACTTTCTCCAAAGTCCTCTGCATCAGCCACTGAGTCCTTCTGGCTCGAATTGTGAATCTTCTCAGGTCCTCCATGTCTACATCCTGAGGGGCTTTCGCCTTTTTTTGCCGTTTGGGCTGTGGTTCACTAGTCCTGGCTGGCTTTGAGGGGACTTACACCTCCATGGGTGCCTTCTCTTTCTGGGCAAGCCGAATCTGCTGGAGGAGTTTTCTGCATTTTTTTCCTGACAGAGTAATGTTGGCACGTGCACTGGACTCCTGCTTCTTGAGACAGTGGCTTGTGATCAGCCCTTGGTCTACCACAGCCCATACCACCTGGTGCCTCAGTCGCCGCTCCCGGTTCAATACCCGCCTCGCTTGAACAGCTTCTTCTTCAGTTCTGTTCGGGGCCGGTTAATCTTTCCCCCTGGAGGACCCATGGCTGCGCTCCGCAAATTTTTTAAAAAATAAGTATTTCAGGGCCGCAGGTGGCATGATGGTTGGGAGCGCTGGACTCCCACATAGCTGACCACAGTTCAAATCCTGGACCTGGTGGCTTGCTTTCTCACTTTCTCTCTCACTCTGTCCCTCTCTGGTCAAATTAAAGTAAGTAAATAAATAAAGTTAAATAATTCTTTTTTATTTGGGGGCAGGGGGAGAGGTTTTTGCTATAGGGCACATGTGCTCACCAGAAAGAGAGAGACAGAGAGAGAAAGTGAGAAGTCACCCCCCGGGGTGGTGGTGGTGGTGGTGGCCACGCCGCAATCCCTTCTCCTCCATTCTCCTCTTGGGATCTTGGGCACGCACATACACGTGTCCAGTGTGAGTTTAAGCCACCGGGTCTGGGACTCGAACTGCAGGAGTCCAGCGACATAGCCATTATGTCAACTGCTGGTCCCAAAATTAAATAATTCTTTAAAAAAAAAAGTATTTCAGTTGTGCTGCAAAGCAGTGACTTGTACACCTGGAATACTGAAGTGACAAGAATGGGGTGGGGTGCTGTAGTGTACAGAGGGGTGTGGTGGGATGGGCAGTAGAGAAAGATAAGACTACCCCAGGCTCAAGAAGAAGGGGAAGGGTACTAGTGTACATGCACAAAAATCAGTTATAAGTGGTATAAGAAATTACCTGGTCCCTGTCTTTTGCTCTCTACATTTTATAGGTGGGAGAAACTTTAGAGACAAGACAAGAATTGCTAAGTTGCTAAAAGTCATACAGTAAATAAAGGCAGAGCTAGACTGGCTCAGATTCAAATATTCTGTCAACTACAATATGCACACTCAATGTGCATGCTGAGATAAGGCAAACACCAGAGTGCTGTAACTTAATATAATTTTAATGTTAATTTATCCTAAAATTCTAATACAGAAACCAAATTTTAAAAAAAGGAAAGAAACCAGAGATCAGCAGATGGTGTAATGGTTGTATCACTGGACTCCCACGTAGTTGACTGTGGTTCGAGTCCTGGACCCGGTGGCTTAAACTCACACTGTGCACGTGTGCATGCTTGCCCCAGATCCCAAGAGGAAAATGAAAGAGAAGGGATTGCTGCGTGGCCATACCGCCTAGGAGGTGATTTCTTGCTTTCTGTCTGTCTCTTATCTTTCTGGCGAGTGCACACGCCCTATAGCAAAAACCTCTCAAAAAAAACAAAAAAACCCAAAAAAACAAAACAAAAAAAAACCCAAATTGAACTATTAGCATTATGTTATAGAGAAAAGAACAAGGAACAATCTAAGTTTAGGACCTACTAATTACTTTCTTTTATTTTTTTTTTAATTTGACTAGAGAAGGATAGGGTGAGAGACAGCAAGAGAGGATAAGTGAGAAAGCAAGCCACCAGGTCCAGGACTCGAACTGTGGTCGGCCATGTGGGAGTCCAGCCACCTTAACCACCACATCATCTGCCGCTTCCCCTACTAACTACTTTCTAATGTCCAGTAGCAATAGAAAAAAGGACACATAACACCAGGAACTAAGAGGGAGTGAAGGAGATTTTACAAGCACTAAAATAATCTGATGATAATGACAACCATGCAGATTTAGACAGGACCTTAAATTCCAGAGTTCTTTACCTACAAGATCTAATTTGCTCTATAAAACAATTATATGAAAATACTTATAATAATCTGTATTTTATGTATGCAAGGAACAGAAAAACTCAAAACAGCTAAGTGATTTGTTATAGTTAGTGCCAAGTGTCTTGATTCTTGCTGAATTAGAATCTTTCTTTATTAAGTTTTACACCTAAATTATGAATCCTTCTTAAAAATCCATCCAATAATTAACTAGTGTGTCTGGGAAGTGGGACTTTCTTTTACATTGTAAACTCACGTATGTGCTGCTGATGCTTTCCCAGAAAATGTCTAAAACCTGGGGAACCAGCAGTTAGGGTAATGGCTATGTCGCTGGACTCCCACGTAGTCGACTGCGGTTCGTGTCCCGAACCCGGTGGCTTAAAACTCACGCCGGGCGCGTGTGCGTGCATGCCCAAGATCCCGAGAGGAGAATGGAGGAGAAGGGATTGCGGCGTGACCATCCCCCCTGGGGGGTGATTTCTCGCTTTCTGTCTCTATGTCTCTCTCTGTCTGTCTGGCGAGCGCACGCGCCCTACAGTGAAAATCTCTCAAAAAAAAAAAAAGTCTAAAACCTGTAAATGGAACTCAGAGCTGGGTCACAAGAGTGATTCTGTGTATTACAGATTATCATTCTATAAAATTATTCCTGAACCTCAGTGACACTATGTATGCAGACTACTCATTATTAATCAAGAAAACTGGACTTTTAAGGGCTCTCAAAATAACAGCCACAACTGTCTTTGCTTGTTCTGACTTAAGACTACCTTTCAGATTCCCTTTTAGACTGGGCGGGGACGGGGAGTGGTTGAAAGCATAATTTCTTATCACTTTGCACAGACACATAAACAGAAAAAGTCTTACCTTGTTTTTTGTGTCAGTGGGAATACCTTCTGGAATTGCAGGTGCAGATGCTGCTTCATCTAAGTAAGAACTATCTTCATCAGCCAGAAGCTCATCACCCAGTGCATCCAGCTCTGAGATTGAAATAGTCAACATTTTCAAAACAATGTAAGCAAAAAAACTAGCAGGTAATGTTAAGACAGGTCAGTCAAAGCAGCCAAACATGGCAGCATAATGGTAGTACAAAGCTCCGTGAATGCTGAGGTCACATGGGAAGGTCCTGGGTTCAGTCCCAAGGTTTTCCTGTGCACACTGGATGGCTGCTTGTGTGCCTGTGATCCTGGGTAGATGAGGTAGGGGAAGAAATGCAACGCTGGTGAGACCCTGTCAAGGATATCCCCCTGCACCCCATTAAAAAAAAAAAAATGAATTAGGAAATCCAGTGTTCAACCATCTACCCATGCTAGAAAATGACAGCCATGTTTGACATCTTCCTCTATATTTGCTCAGTCTTTAAGTCTTGTTCATTCAACCTCTTAAAATTTCTTTAATCTATCCACTTTTCTGTTTCTGCTAATATCACGCTATTCTTAGCTGCCACTATCTCTTACATGACTATAGCAATAGCTTCTAGATTCCTCTCCCTGAGGCCACACACAGAGCCTTCCCATTTTTTCATGTTAACCTCTGCTCATAGTTCAGGATTCACGCCTGTCCCATAACTAGGTTGGGGTCTTCCTCCGTGTGTTCCCATGGTACTCATAGTTCTTGCTAACCATTTGTGTCCCTATAATTAATTTAATTCACCAAAGCCAGCAGTTTATATTTCTTCCATTTCTAGAAGAATGCAGTTATCACATTTGTTTTCTTCACTGCTGAATATTTAGCATCTCAAACAGAGCCTGGCACATATGTAGTAGGTGCATACCAAGTATTTGCCAACTACTGTTTTTTTCCTTCCATGAATAGAGACAAAGAGAGAGAGAAAGATAGCACCCCCAACAAAGCCCTGACTTTGTGATCCACCACTAGCATCAGCCAGCTCCGGATCATGGGCACATGCACACCTTGCATACTTGAAGAGGTCTCCAGATGCGAACCTGGAACCCTCCCATGTAGGTCAGCCTTGCAGAGCTTCATTTTACTTCTATACCACCACCTAGCTGATCCAACTACTGTTTATTAATTTGTTTTGCTATTCTGAGGGCGAAGACTCATAGTAGGGAGAAAGGGGGAACAAAACCAAAAGGGAAAATGACAAGGAAAGACCATGGTGAGGACACTTAAAGATACCACTCACGGGACCAGCAGCTGGCATAATGGCTATGTTGCTGGACTCCCGCAGTTGACTATGGTTTGAGTCCCAGACCCCATGGCTTAAACTTACACCAGGCTCGTGTATGTGTGTGTGCCCAAGATCCCGAGAGGAAAATGGAGGAGAAGGGATTGTGGCATGGCCATCCCCTCTGGGGGGTGATTTCTCGCTTTCTGTCTCTCTGTCTTTCTAGTGAGCGGGAGGCCCCCCCGCCCTAAACAAAAAACCTCCAAAAAAAAAAAAAAAAAAAAAAAAGACACCATGTATGCCTTTGGTGGACATTTGTTTAGAATTTATCTATCCAAATATTGATGGAGTATGCTAGTCTAATTCAACTATCTCACAAGCTATTTGCCCAGAGACCATACAATGAACTCTCAGGGATTCCTGAACGGAAGTTTCATTTGCATTTGGAAAAGGTAGTTGTCCCTTTCAGACTCTAAAACTAAATAACTACTGATTTTCTCATTACTTACCTGCTTCTAGGTCATCTTCATCTAATTCTGGGGTGCCATAACTGCGACTCAGTGCTTCTTGGATTTCATTTGCATCTTCCATCATATCCTCTAGCTGGTCTTGCAAATCCTACAGAAATATAAATGAGGGTTTTTATTCACTTTGTACTCTTTCTTTTAATACCCACTTCCCATACCTTCTCCTTTGAACTCAGAAACAAGCATTGTTTAAATAATTTTTTTTTTGTATTTACAATACAGCACATATCCATATGAAAGAGAGATAGGAGAAAAAACAAAACCTTTCACAGGCCTAGTGCAATCCCCTCTCTCTAGTCCCCCAGTATGGAGAGCAGCCAATCTGAGCAAACATGGTGACCTTTAGACACATGTAGAAGTGTGGTTTTGTGAGCTGTCATTTGGACGGTGATGAAAGCAATTTACATGTGAATATGCCAGCTGTCTGAAACTGCAGAACAATATCAGTTTTAAGGAAGCCACATGTGTTTATCAAAATTGGTCCCGTGAACCAGCAGTTAGTGTAATGGCTATGTCACTGGACTCCCACGTAGTAGACTGCGGTTCGCGTCCCGGACCTGGTGGCTTAAAACTCATACATGCCGGGCGTGTGTGTGTGCGTGCCCAAGATCCTGAGAGGAGAACGGAGAAGGGATTGCAGCATGACCATCCCCCCTGGGGGGGGGTGATTTCTCGCTTTCTGTCTCTCTGTCTCTCTCTGTCTGGCGAGCGTATGTGCCCTATAGCGAAAAACCTCTCAAAAAAAATTGGTCCCAAAAGATCAGAGAAACTAAATGGTGCCAGTTGTCTTAGAATCTTTAGCTGATTAACATCCAAAAACAACTGACTTTGCATTCTATTTCCTCTTCTCCCATTTTTTGCCCTTTAAAAGTAAACCTAGGACCAGCTTGAGGTCACAACTATCTCCATCAGAGAAGTTGGGCCCACCTGATCTTCACTTTTCTATACTTGTATGTCTTTGTGTTTTTATGTTTATTTCTAATCCACAGGCCCCCCCACACACACTCAAAAAAATGCATTCTGCCAAATGAGTCCTGGCAAAGTGGCACTCAAACGTGCAGCCTGAGTACAGGGGAACTACAAAGAGTCAGGTAAGCAGACACTCCTTAAGGCCAGGCGGAGATAACTGAGGAAGGTAAGGAACCAAGAGAGTAAAATAAAGAATAAATAGAGTAAAAGAAAGAGATAACACAGTAAAAGAAGGAGACAACAAAGTAAAAAAAAAAAAAAAAAGTAAGATTAAAAAAAGTAAAATTAAAAAGTAAATTCAATTAGTGTTAGCTATAAAACATAGGGACACAGTTGTCTAAGACAGGGATATATAAATGTCCAAATGTTTTATATATTAAAAGCCAGGGGTGGTAAAGTTAGTATCAAACAGTTACACACTCTGCCAAGTGAGTCCCAGCACTCCAGCCTATTGGACCTTAGGCATCTGTGTGAGTGTCCAACCTATTTGAGTCTGACCAGGTCAGGGATTCAAATCACAGTCACTTACACAAAATCTCTCAAGCAGTGCATTACTGCTATGCCATGGAGCCATCCCAGAAAGTAGCAATTTTTGGTACATAAACAGTTCTCAACTGTTTGATTACCTCCCATTCCAGTGCATGGATAGCAATTGTTTTTAGTCAACAATGGAGTAGACACTCCTTTAAAGGACAGAGTTGAGTAACTGAGAATGTCCCTTCTAATGAAAGTATGAAAAATAGTGCTTTGACCAACCCCATGGCACAGTGGTAAAGGGAGCCAGATCCCACATGACCAAGCAAAGTTTAAGCCCAGCCTTGAAAAGCTTCACAGGCACATGTTTGTACATGTCCAAAATCCCAAAAGTATAGAGAAATGGAGAAGGGATGGTGGTATGACAATGTCCTACTGAGGGGTGCTTTCTCTTTCTCTGGCAAGTGCATGCACTCTCTGGTAATTAAAAAAAAAAAAAGTGCTTAAAGAATTATTGAAAAATTACAAGCCCAGGATTAGCTCCATGGTCTGGTGGTTAAGGTAGCCAGTCTCCACATGGCTGACCCTGCAGTTCAAGTCTTGGACCCAGTGGATTGAAAAACATGCCAGGAGAGACCAGCAATTGGTGTAATGGCGATGTTACTGGATTCCCATGTAGTTGACTGCGATTTGAGTCCTAGACCTACTGGCTTAAACTCATGCTGGGTGCGTGTGTGTGCGTGCCTAAGATCCCAAGAGGAAAATGGTTCTGTCTCTCTGTCTCGCTCTTTCTGGCAAGTGCACATGCCGTATAACAAAAACCTCTCCAAAAAAAAAAAAAAAAAAAAAAACATGCCAGGCACATGTGTATATATGCCCAAAATGGCAACAGGATGAAGAGACTGAGGAGAAGGGATTATGGTGTGACCATTCCCCGTGGAGGTGCGTTCTCCCTCTTTCTTTCTCTCTGGGGAGCATCTGCACCTTCTGGCAATGATTAAAAAAAAAGAGTCTCACACACACATACACACACCCACAAAGACAAACTAAAAATGAAAACCAGAAGACACTGAAAATGTCTTACCAGTCAAGTTTTTCAGGAAAATAAATCTAACAAAAGAATTAAAAACATGTAGCCCAGCCAAACGATACACACGTACACACAAAAAGAGTTAAAGGGGCTCGCCTCCTGTCATGTTGACAATCTACTGGAGGATAGGAAAATGATATTAGGCACAGAGACAGATAGTCAACCACAGGTGAAGATGGCAAGACATACAAAAAATAGAAAAATCAAAGATTCTCTTGCGGGACCAGCAGTTAGTGTAACGGCTATGTTGCTGGATTCCCATGTAGTTGACTGTGGTTCGAGTCCTGGACCCAGTGGCTTAAAACTCACGCCAGGTGCGTGTGTGTGCGTGCCCAAGATCCCGAGAGGAAAATGGAGGAGAAGGGATTGTGGCGTGGCCATTCCTCCTGGGGGGTGATTTCTCGCTTTCTATCTCTCTGTCTCTCTCTGTCTGTCTGGCGAGCGCACACGCCCTATAGCAAAAACCTCTCCCAAAAAAAAAAAGATTCTCTTGCTTTGTTCATAAAAAAAAAAACAAAAAACAAAAAACCACACACACACATATAAAGCTGTAAATAACACTTGAGGAATCCTAAAAGCATAAAATAAAATTGCATTTCATTATATTTTATTACCCAATGGTTTTATACAAATAAGACAAGCATATGCAGAACGTTTTTTCTCAATGAACTTCCTGGAAGATATCACAAAGCTTAACTCCACTTAAACAGACTCAAGGAGGATTAGGGCTGGCAAAAGGCAGTCTAAGGAGGGGTGCCTGAAAAAGGAGGGAGATGCCTTCATTTTTTTTTAAAAGTTTATTTAGTTCTTCCTTGAGTGCATACATGCACAAGACAGAAACAGACAGATACAAACACGCACACACAGAGTAGCCCCAAGAGGATCTAGATGCTGAGATCTACCACCAGACTTCAGCCAGTCCTGGATCATGGGCATGTATGTATATTCCTGGCTTCCACAGGAAGGTCTCTGGACTTGAACTTTCCCTTGTGAGAGTGCCTTGCAGAGTGTCATGTTTACCATTGTGCCACCACCTGGCCCAGGAATGCCTAAATTCTTACTTAAGATCAGCATTGCCAGGGACCAGCAGATGGTATAATGACTACGTTGCTGGACTCCCATATAGTCATTCAACCATTCATCAACCATCAAATATTTTCTGAGCATCAACCTTGGCTAGGCATTGTTCTAGGTACTAGGGATACAAGATGAACAAATCAAGTCCCTGCCCTCAAGGAAAAAGAACAGGTGTGGGTAGAGGTAAAGAACACCATGATATGCACACAGAAAGCCTCTTTCCTCTGGTCAGTCACCACTCATACCTTCTGCTATCCCTGCTATCTGGGCAGTTGACCTGACAGTTGAGAACAGCCAGACTCTTTGAGCCCATCTCTCTGGACAAAACCCAATCCTAAAAGAAATGCTAATTTTAAAGAACTAATGAATTATGAAAAATATAAAAAGGGCCATTTCTGTGGCCTTGTGGTTTAGGAAGCCAGATCCAACATGGATGACAGCGCAGTTCGAATCCCAGGCCTGGTGGCTTGTGAAAAATGCCTGGCACATGTGGAATCCTGAAAGGAGTTTCGGAAAAATGGAGAAGAGGTGGCATGACCATTCTCCACAGGGGGTGCTTGTTCCTCTCTCTCTCTCTCTCTTTCTCTCTTGTGAGAGCACAAGCCCTTTAGCAAAAAATAAAAAATAAAATAACTAGAGGGGCTAGCAGGAGGCATGGTGGTTAAGGTGCTGGACCCCTATATAGTCAACCACAGTTTGAGTCCCGGATCTGGTGATTTGCTTTCTTATTTTGTCTCTCTCCCTCTTTCTTCTATCTCTCTCTGGTAAGTGCATTATAGCAAACCTAAAAAAATAACAATAAATAAAACTAGATAAATACTTAAAGAAAAAAAAAAACTAGAAAAGGGAACCTATTTGATGCCAGGAATTATGTTAAGCACCAATATAGATCTTGATTTCATACTTGTGATATTTTGAGAGACAAGCAGTCACATCACTACTTTACAATTGAGGAAACTGACCAAAAATCATTAAGTTAGTTAGAAGTAACTACTGGGTGGTTGTGTGCCAGGCATTACGCATGTTGATAACACTAGCTCATTTAGTTCATATCCTTATAATAACTGTATGTGGTATCAGGATCACTGCACCAACGATAATGAAGCAAACCTTTGGTATTCTTTTTTCCAAAATGATTCTACTAGTAAATGGTAGGCACATATTCAATCCTTCTTCTGTATTCTCCCCATCACACACATATTCATCTAGACTCTTTCAGAAATAAGTGTACAGGGGCAGGCAGATGGGATGGTGGTCAAGGTGCTGGATTCCTACATGGCCCACCATGGTTTGAGCCTTGGAAATCGGTGACTTGGAAATCGCACCCAGAGGTTTTTGTGTGTGTGCCCAAAATCTCAAGAGGTGAATGGAGAAGGGATGTGGTGTGGCCCTCCCCTCTGGGGGGTGATTTCTCACTTTCCCTCTGTCTGTCTCTGTCTTCTTCAGCAAGACACATGCCCTATGGCTAAATAAATAAATAAATCCTGAAAGAAATGAGTGTACATTCTTGCAAAAACTAGTATACATCTCACCTCAATCTGGTCAATTTTCACTTGTTTGTATGCCTTTTTCATTTCCTTTACTCCCAGTTTCATAGCATCGACCTAAAAAAGCAGATGGGAGAAACTATAATGTCTTAAGAAGATACGTTGGTTAAAACTGTCTTTAAAAAATTGAAAAAAGAGCACAAGAGTGAAAAATAAATAATGAGAAAAGGTGTTTTGAGAGTACCGTGGTCTTGGTGTCCTTCAATGACTGGATGGTATAATTGGCTTGTTCCATGTTAAATGACTGTTGGGCGAGATTGTCCCGTTGCTGCTCATACCTTGTGAGAGTCAAATGAAAATAGTAAATATGAGCCAGATAGAAATTCTCAGGAAAAAAAGTATCCTTAACACTGAATAAGGGAATTTTCTTTAAATAAAAAAGTCGACAAAATTTTTAAAAATTCAATAATATACAGAAAAATTAGCAAAAACAATTCATTTACTCTACCACAGTTATCATTTGATGTGTCACTTTTTTTTTTTTTTAATTGCCAGAGATTGTGTGTACTTTCCAAGAGACAGAAAGGGAGAAAACACCCCCAATGAGGCATGGTCATGCCAAAATTCCTTTTCCTCCATTTCTTCATCTCACTGGGATTTTGGGCACCTATGCACAGGTGTTCAGAGTGTTTTTCAAGCCACTGGGGCCAGGCTTTGAACTGTGGTTGACCATCTGGGATCTTGTTCTCTATGCACAGCACTTAACCACCATACTACAGGACCTGTCCACACTTTGGTCTTTTTCCTTTCCATGTATTTTAACTATACCACTATTTTTCACTTAACATTATAGCACTTGCCCTTTTTCTATGTTGCTACATCTTTCTTTCTTTTTTTTAAATTTGTTTCTTTCATGAGAGACAGAATGATGCAGTCACACCCCGAAAGAGTCCTTATACTCCAATCCAGCTCCTCCTCCATCTCAGCTGGCATGAATCTTTGGTATGTGCCCAAGATCCCAGGATGTAAAACCAGGGCCCTTCCTATGAATCCAGCTGCATTACTATTATACTACCACCTGGCCCTACATGTCTTAATATATGTCTTTTTTTTTTAAGAATTATTTTATTTAACTTTATTATTATCATTATTATTTTCTAGTTTGATCAGAGAGAGACAGAGAGAGAGAGAATGGAATTGAGAAAGCAAGCCACCAGGTCCAAGACTTGAACCGTGGTCAGCCATGTGGGAGTCTAACATCTTTAACCACCATGCCACTTGCTGGCCCCTATATGTCTTTATAATTACTTCCTATGATAAATTTCCAGAAATAGAATTCTTGGATCAAAGAGTGGAATTATTTTTAAGGCTCTTTATTTATTTTTGGACTCCCACCAGGCCAGGACTCAAACAGCAGTCGACCATGTGGGAGTCCAACACCCTTAACCACCATGCCACCTGCAGGCCCTCTAAAGCTCTTTAAATATAGCTAAATGTTTTTCCAATAGACTGAACTCCTTGTGGAGAGATATTTTATTATTCTTATACCTATAATTATTAGGTAATTCATCTGACCTAAAATAATGATTGTGCTTAAAGTATGTTTTGTAAAATAAAGTTTTACATCAAAGTATGCTACTACCTCAAAGATTCCACCACTATGGTCTTTACACAGTATTCAGAAATCATCTAACTATCCAACCAGAAAAAAAAATGGTCAATTCACAATGCAGGCAAATAGTGGAATATTATGATTTCATTAAAAAGTGTAAAGTTTTGAGCCAATCTCATAGCGTAGTGGTTAGGGGAGCTGGATCCCATATGACCAACCATGGTTCAAGTCCTGACCCCGCTGGCTTAAAAAACATGTCAGGCACATATTCATATGTGCACCAAATCCTGAAATAATGCAAGGGAGTTGACACATAACTACGCCCACTGGGTTGTAGAGTTGGCAAGGATATGCACTCTCTGGCAAAAAAAAAAAAAAAAAAAAAAAAGTATAAAGTTTCAATGGTGAGGGACCAGCAGGTGGCGTGGTGGTTAAGGCGCTGGACACTCCCACGTGGCTGACCATGGTTCGAGTCCTAGACCTGATGGCTTGCTTTCTCACTTTCCCTCTTTCTCTCTCTCTCTCTGTGTATCTCTCTGGTCAAATTAAAATAAAATGAATAAATAAAAGTAAATAAATAATTCTTAAAAAAAAAAAAGTTTCAATGGTGAAAGTGGTAAGGTGCCACTGCTTGAGGCTGAGCCCACATGGAAGGCCCAGGTTTGGATCCCAGAACAATCTGAACAGACCAGGCATAGTAGTACATGCCTGAAGTCCTAGCTTACTGGGAGGTTGGGTCAGATGATCACAATGGTAAGACTATGAAAAAATACCTATGTCCCCTTCCCTCACCATGAACACTCTCTCTCTCTCATTAAAAAATAAAATCTAGGGACCAGCAGTTAGTGTAATGGCTATGTCGCTGGACTCCCACATAGTCGACCGCGGTTCAAGTCCTGGACCCGGTGGCTTAAACTCATGCCGGGCGTGTGTGTGTGCGTGCCCAAGATCCCAAGAGGAGAATGGAGGAGAAGGGACTGCGGCGTGGCCATCCCCCCTGGGGGGTGAGTTCTCGCTTTCTCTCTGTCTCTGTCTGTCTGGTGAGCACACACGCCCTATAGCGAAAACCTCTCCAAAAATAAAAAAAAATTTTAAAAATAAATAAAAATAAAATCTAGGGGCTAGCAGGTAGCATGGTGGTTAAGGCACTGGACTCCTACATGGCCAACCACAGTTTGAGTCCCAGACCCAGTGGCTTGAAAATCACACCAGGCACATGTGCCCGAAATCCCAAGATAAAAATGGAGAAGGGATTGTAATGAGGCCACCCACCCTGGGGGGGGGGGGGGGGAGAGTGATGTCTCACTTTCCTCTTGCTGTCTCTCTCCAGTGAATGCACATATCCTACGGCAAAACACTTAAACAAAACTATTTCCCTAAAGAATATAAGGATAGGGAAAAGTTCATGATAAAACATTAAGTGGAAAAAAGCAACCTATATATACACAGTATAGTTTTATATTTCTTCTAAAAAAATTACATGCACACACACCACATATGCGCAAACGGGGAAAAATGGAAGAGATTAGCATTTTAAGAGTTATTATTTCCAGTAACAGGTAAATTTTCTTTTCTTTTATCCCTGTTTTTGTATTTTTAAAATTTCTACAGTAAACCAATATTCCTTTTTTTTTTAATTTTTTGACTTTTATTTTTAGAACCAATATTCCTTTTATAATGCAAAATGTTACTGAGCCAGCTCTGCGGTACAACAGTAATGTGTTGCTTCAGAAAAACTGGATCCCACATGGCTACTACAGTCCAAATCCCTAGCCAGTCAGCCCCAAACAAACTACATAAAAGCAAATGCCCAGGATCCCCACAGGCTGGAAGACTGGGGATCACATGATCAGACCACGGGGAAGTGCTCATTTTTCGCTTCTCTTTCTTTCTCTGTACATGTGCATGCACTATCATAAGTAAAGAAAAAACTAAAAAAGGAACATGACTTAAAAATCAAAATGCTACTGATTGAGAAAGTAATATTCAATAGTTTTTACCATACTCTTAGTACTCTAAATAATTTTAATTTCTTTTTTCAAGTTTATTTAATCTAAAAGGAGAAAGATGGGCATCTGACGTCTTAGAATTAAGTATTTAAAGGGGTCGGCATGTAGTGTGGTGGTTAAGAGTGCTGGACTCCCACATGGCAGACCACAGTTCAAGTCCCAGACCTGGCAGCTTGCTTCTCTCTCTCTCCCTTTATCCCTCTCTGGTTAAATTAAGGTAAGTAAATAAAGTTAAATAAAATAATTCTTTAAGAAAAATCACTTAAAAATAGGAAGAGAGGGGCCAGCAGGTGGTGTGGTGGTTTAGGTGCTGGACTTTCATATGGCTGACTACGGTTTGAGTCCCAAACTTGGCAGCTTGCTTTCACATTTTCTCTCTCTCTCACGTAAGTGTGTATGCCCTGTAACAAAACTGAAAAAAAAAATAATGGAAGTAAGAAAGCAAGCCACCAGATTCAGGACTTGAACCCTGGTCAGCCATGTGGGAGTGTCCAGCGCCTTAACCACCACACCACCTGCTGGTCCCAAAATAAATAATTCTTAAAAAAAAAAAAGAAACAATTATATCAACAATCTTTCTGGTATCCTAATAGTTAATTATATCCAACTCTACAACCCTGCAGAGAGGTCTTATCAGCTGAACAATCAACAGTGATAAGCGCCAATGTTACTCTCTGGCTTCTGCTCACACACAGGACAGTTGCCTAAAATAAATTAAGGACTCTTAAATCTATTTTGGTGAGAGAAAACAAATAATCAGGATTCCTAACTTTACAAACAAAAACAAAGAAGATAAAGGGAGAATCAAACGCTGTAGAGCTTGCCTTTCTGGAATAATATTGCTAGTGACATATGGCTACTTAAATGATCAAAATAAACTAAATTAAAACTTTAGTTCTTTAGTCACACTAGCCAGATTTCAAGTGCTCACTAGCCACATGCAACTAACAGCTACTATACTGGACACAGAGATATAGAACATCCCCGTCACAGCAGTAAGTTCTACTTAGATGGCTAGTGCTATAACAGATGTTGCTAAACATGATGAGGGTAAAAACCCAACTAACTGTACAGAAGTCCTCCCTATCCATGGAGGACACATTCTAAGAGCCCTAATAGATGTGTCAAACCACAGATAGTACCAAAACCTATTTATACTATGCCTTACCTATACATACATACCTATAATAAAGTTTAATTTATATCTTAGGCACAGTAATATCGGGTTGTCGGGAAACTCATGATTCATTTTTGCAAAGAAAAACATGGAAAAATATGTCATGACTTTCCTGACAACCTAATAGAATAACTATAATAACATACTATAATAAAAGTTATGTGAATGTGGTCTCTTTCTCTCAAAATATCTTACTGTATTGTACTTACCTATTTTCAGACTGGTTGATAGCAGGTAACTGAAACCATGGGAGGGGAAATGGATGGCAGGGAATTACTGTATTTAATCACATGTGAATGAAAATTTATAATTGTATCAAGAATGTGGAAAAATGGTATAAAAATCTGAAGGAGTGGAACACCATCTTCCTTTTGGTTAAATCTGCTAGAGGGAAGATCATGTACATAACTTACATCCGCTTTTGCTTTAAAACCCGCAAGGCCTTCTGCTTGACCATGTTCTAGGAAGAAAAACAAATTAAATAAAAAGAAAGTGGGAACCTACATATGGTAAAATAAAATCACCTATATTCTCAAACTCACATACATACTTACTCTGCTCTTCAAATCAGTAGACATAGTAGATCCTGATTCTATTTTTTTCCCTTCTAAAACAGATATTTTTAAGGTTCAGTCATTAAGCTTTAGGTCCTGTCTATCATTGCACCCCACTTCTCAGTGTCCTGAACTATTTTCCCTTTTTCTAATGTGTAGATTATTTTTACTTCCAGCCCCAACAGTGCCATTTTGTACATCCAGGTACCTTAGGAAGAGTACCCACTACTTCTACATCCCGCTATCAACTCAACATGCCCAAACTACTCAATCTTACCACAGCTTGGAAATCACTAACAAAGGCCCCATCGATTTTTCACGTCTCTAGCTTGAGAATCTTTATATCAATCATTCCTTTCTCTGTTGCTTCTTCGTGCACAGGCATCCCGTTACTGATTTTCAAACTGATCTCTTTCATGTCATTCTCATGACTACTACTATGATTTGAGCTTTCCTCTAATCAAATCTAGATGGGCTTTCCTGCCTCTATGTGCTCTTCATTCCATACCATCAATGAAGATGGTTGAGAAAACCTTTCCTTTCTATATTGTTCCATATATCACTTTGTGTTCTCTAGTGAGGAATGAAAAGTAGATATTACTTCACAGATGATAAGAACTAACATTTACTGAGTACCACATACTAGACATAGTGCCAAACATGTCACATGAATTACTTCCTTTAACCCTTATACTATAAAGTAGGTATTATCCTCATTTTCCAGGCAGAAAAATTGAGGTTCAGTAATGTCCTGGCTCCTGTGATTAATAAATTATAGAGTTGGAAAAAAACAAAGTACTTCTATATCCGGTCCATGTGTTTAAATACTGGACTCTGCCTAACAGAAGCAGAATATATTTAACTGCCAAGGTCACAATAGTAGTTTGTGACAGTGTTAGTATTAGAACACTATTTCAGATGCCTAGATCAGTACTTTTTTATCTAGGCATCTGGAATAGTCCTTAACCAGCCTAGTCATGCCTGCCTAACCTGACCAGTAGGCAAGTCAATGGTCCTGAACATTTCCCAGCCCTTCTCTCCAGATTGACACCTTCTCAGTAAAATATGCTAATTCCCAGGTACTTGCTTGTGATCATGTGATCAGCAACTTCTCTCAACTAGATCGAACCCCAGCCTTCCTCCCATATCTGCCTGTAAACTCTCTGCTTTAAAAGATAGTCTCATGTGTTATGTTTTCTCTTTACTATATTGTGAGTATCTTGTCTATGTCCTTCACTAGCCCCTACCATCAGGCCCTATATATCTAGAGATGCTCAATTTAGGCTGTCACAGCACTTCTTGGAGCTGTCATTGCCTATCTTACCTTTGCAGGACCCTCTCTCATCTTCTTGATCTGATCTTTATACTTCACTAGCTCAGCATCCAATCGAGAAATCTTCTTGTCAATGGATTCTGCCCTGCTGTCCACCTTGGGGGGAAATATCAAATACAGTGATTGTTATTGCAATAAAATTATACAGGACAGGGAAAGAAGAGAGAAAGGAATATAGGTGAAGAAAAGAATAAAGAGGAACATATTATCAACTATATAAAACAGTGATTGAAAAGGGAGGAGTGACTCCCAGTCAAAATCACTTTTATGACTGTACTCCCCATCTCACTCCAGGTTCTGATATACCAGGTCCCTCTCAAATGAATTTTAGCAGAAAATTAATTTGAAAATCACTGGGCTGAGTTAAACTTCTCTAAAATGCAGTCAGGTTGGGGGCTCAGAACCCCAGTCAGGGTTCTGAATTTTGTGCTACTGAGATCCTGGAATAAGATTCAAATATGTTGACCTATGACAAAAAGCTGACAGTCCCGACTTTGGCGAAAGACATGGGGTGGAAGTGGGGTAAATGACCGGGTTGGGTGAGGTGGGGGAGGATGTATGTGATCGGGGAGGGCTGGGATGAGATGATCAAGGCCGAGTGGACGGGGCAAAGGGTATCGGAAGGGGTAGGGAGCAGGTAAGGAGAAGTGGGCATGGGGTTATGGGTCTCCGATTTGTAGCATCAGGAGTCACCTGGTAACAGGAATTAAGGGGACGGAGGTGGGACAGAGAGGGCTAAGGTGGAATGGGCCCGAACCCGGAATGAAGTGGAAGAGTAGGAACCCAGGGCCGGGAGTGGGCGGGGTTGAGCGGGTTTGTACGGGGTGAAAGAAGCCCTGAGCGTAGGTATGTATGGTCAAGCCCACCGTGCCAATGCAGTCAGTCAGGCTGGGCGGCGGAGCCTTGGGTTTCGCTTTCCCGAAGAATCGGTTCATCTTGTACGGCACGAAGAGATCCAAACACTGGACCAAAACCAGAAACGGAAGTAGGGTCACTCTCGCCTCGACTTCCGTCCCCTCGGTGCGCAAGCGCAATTCGCCGGTTGGAGTTTCCCGATCCTTTTTCCGGGTTTTCAGATGGTCTTCCGTGGAAAATGCGCTAGAGAACTCAAGAGGCGGGAACAGAGACCACAGGGGGCGGGGCCCCAGTGGAAAGTGGGCGGAGATTCACATGATTAAGGCGGAGCCTCGGCAGAGAGGGTGGGGCCCGGAGGCGGTGTCCGCGGAACAGGGCAGGGCAGGGGTGGGCCGGCACCGAGGGGCGTGGCCGGGGCGGCGCGGCGGGGCGGGGCTGAGAGTAGCCCGAGGGGTTGCGGGGCTCCGCGCTCAGCTCCGCGGGCTGGGCGGTCTACAAGCGCGGGCCTGGCGGC